TCACACTGAGCACGTGTGACAGAGTCTGGAGACGCCGTGGAGAACCTTCTGCTGCCTGAGTTGGCAGATGCTCTAGTCCTGGAGTCTGGGAGGAGATCCATCAGGAGACCATCTGCCACTTCATCAGGAGCATGCCCAGGTGTTGTAGTGAGGTCATACAGGCATGTGGAGGCCACACAGACTACAGAGCCTCATTTTGACGTGTTTGAAGGACATTACATCAAACCAGATGAATGATTCTGTATTGCACTGATCAAGGAACCAACCCAATAGGAGCTAAAGGCATCCTCTTCACATTACTTAACATAGTGAGTTTATACTATGTTTAATGTGCATTTTCTTCATCAGTCTAGAACATAACATGTTAGCGCTCCCTGGTTCTTTTTGGAGACAGATCCTGAGACAGCAGGCAGCTTTGGAGAACTCATGCCAGCTGTGGTCATTAAGGAAAACTTTGATTTAATATTGATTTCATGACAACTATCCTCAGGCACATATTCCTGGATATATACAATGACACGAGTAGACACTAACCCCCAGCAGTCTGGTGCTATGACAGCATAACTAAGGGCTGACCTGAACCAGCCCCAACTATAAGCTCTATAAAGAAGTGAAGTCTTATGCCAACTCTTAAAAGTCTTGACCATGTCCACCTCCAAAACTCATAATGGACTTTGGAGGTGGACAGCTATCAAGCTCCTCACAGAGGAGCAGCTTGACAGCTAACAGCTCCCAATTTACTTTAGTCCAAATACATGAATTCAAATTGAGGTGATAACTATTTATCAACAGTATGAATGTCTGTTCCCGTCCAACAAAGTTGTTACTACATACCATGTTGAGCAGGCTTCCACTTGACTTTAACTTCTTCTTTTCCTGAAAAACATGATATAAACAAACAATTAATTCAGAAAGACATGCAGGTTGCATACAAAAAGGAGCCTACAAACATTTGTGTACTGTTGAATGGCTCAATATATTATACAGTTAGTTTACAAAAACATAAGAACCACTACAATGCTTGTACTGCCAGCATCGAGTGCATGTCAGCAAAGCAACACTGCTTACATTGTGGCTCACAAGCTCCACTCCTTTTCATCAAAACCAAAATTTTATCTACATTCTGTTTTTTACACTTTAAATCCCAGTTAGGTTAAATATTACCAGTAGCTTTTCAGATAAAACAGTAATAAAGTCCTAATGGTTTCATAAATCTTCATATTTTTTTTCATATAAGCATCGGGGACAAGGCTGTCTTGCAACTGTTGAGGTCACTAGTGTGCGCCCTATTTCTTCCAGGATCACTCTTCATTTGTAGGTTTTAGTGGACTCCTACTACTGTGAAGTGGTTTTCATGGGACAGGGGCTTGTATTCCAAGATCTGGGAGATTGTAGAAATGAGCTGTGATGCCCTTCTTGCCATCTTTCCAGAAATATCAGTGATCTGGAAGCTGTTAGGCTGACTTACAGCAGCAGCACTTTCTGCACCTGCAGAAACTCCAGGACACATTTACTAACAGTGTTTGTTGCTGTGTGTGCTGCAGCTGCAGCTTTGAATTTTTTTGAGAGCTAATATTTTGGCTTGGTGTCTTGTTATGAAATGTACAAGAGTAAGAGTGTTAGCATGTGTGTCAAAGCTACGTTTGACTGGGAAACTCAAAGCTCAATAACCTGTATCAACAACAATTCACTGCAGCCTGTGTAATATTTGATGCATCATAATTTATTCCAGTCTATCTTGCAAATACATGTTTGCGTTGCAATGTCATGCACAACACACACAACTATTAGAGCCTTAAGATCAAACCTGCGTCATTCTTTTGGTCCACTGCAGTGTAGCAGTCAAACAAGGAGAAGTGAAGTGGCCCCAAATGGCCAGGATAGAGATCAGAGGGTTAATGCGTAAAATGCATAAAAATATTATTGATTACAGGATAATACATTAATGTTAATATCAACAATAAGCTTTTTACTCTGAAGTTACAAGTATAAACAATGCTGTTGCATTTACACTTACATTTTTTACTATAAGTATGGAAACAAGTGAACAGCATTTTTTAATAAGTTTAACTGGAATTCTGTACACTGAAAAACAAACAACAGATAAAAAACACAAACAAACAGCCAGTGCCTTCATCTGTCCATTAAATGTCAAACATCGCTTTGACCTGTAGTCTCTGCTCGTCAGCACATGCTTTTAAAAAGAGCTCCATGTCCTCTGCAAACTGAAAAACAAAGAGGAAGAAGTCCCTCTACACAAAAACACTGTGGATGACAGGCCAGGCAAACATCTATTGACCTGTTTGAATGCCTCCTCATCATGTGAGCCTTGAAGTTTTTTTGTAAGAAGACTAAGACCACAGTGAGGACGTTTCATTTTCATGGACTTTCCACAAGCCCCAGTTTCATTTAGCACAGAGGGTGGAGCACATGAATGTTCTACCCAAGATTCAGGAAATGGTTTAGATGCTGGAGACGAGACATGGAGAGGGAGACGAGGCTCCACGGAGAGTTCAGTGGGGAGCAGTCCTGAATGCTGACATGACAATAATTGCCTTGCCATATCCCCACGCTGTATGACTGTCATGTTACAGAAGGGCAGTGAAAGTGCACCGGCACATCATTTTGTCTGTAAGAGAGAAAAAAAGAAAAAACATGTAATTTAAATGTAGTTGTATAGAATGCAGTCAGTTTATCTAACAATCAGATTGTACATATTAACAAAAATATCCAAGCCGTCCTCAATAATGAAAGCAAAATGGTGTGGATCACAAGAGCTGTCAGGAAATGTGGTGAACAGGAAAAATATTTAATGAAAACACTTTTTTCTCTCGCTGATGAATGAACTGAACTGTACAATGTGAAAAATAACTTTTAAGTCAACAAAGACCTGCAGAGGTGCTGAAAAGAAGTGCATATTTATGACTTTAACTATGAGGTATATTTAATACCAACATACCTTTGAAAGGCAAAGCACTTTGAATGTGTCCATTTATATGCTGCTCAATCTTTGCCCTGACAGCAGGGCTGAGAGTGGGGCACAGAGGGCAGTGAAACAGCCAACACGTGGTGCATTCCTGCAATTCTGGCCTGGAGGCAGAACTCCAATTTGATATTTGCATCTAAAACAGAGAGAAAAACAGATAAACACCATATACACATTTAAGTTCAGGTTTTAGCAGAAATAACACGTTACAGTTAGCATGTAAGAGATTTGGGAGAAAATTCTTTACAAAAACATAATTTACAAGAAACTTTTATTTGTGACATACGTATCTATTGACATATAAAAGACAATTGAACAAAGGCTAACTAACATCTTGGCAATAAAACAGAATAAATAGAGAATATTAGTATTTATACATATATAAAACTCTCTGTGACGACCTTTACAATGTTTTTGCAGGTGGAATGAGAGACATGAATAAAGTGCAATATGCAGTAAATGGAACAATGTGCATTGATGTTACAGATCGTGAAAAGTAGTGAAGTGAATTTGTTCATAACAAGCAAAAATCAAATACGTTTGAAACTGACCACTAAATGCTAACCAGAGGTGTCAAAAGTGCACATTCTTACTAAAGTTTAGATGCCTCAGGGGTCTGACCGTTGTTGTAGCGCTAACAAATGCCAACGTAATCAGTGTAAGCAAACTAGATGATTCCTACAATTATATAATTATTAACGGCAAATTTAGACATGAAAGACTCTGTAACAACCTTTACGATCCACTTGCAAGGTTTCCACAGTCGATGGCTGTATCCCAATTCAGGGTCTGCAGCCTTAAAGTTCGCAGCCTCAACGGTCCATGAACTCTGAACATCTGAACTCTGAAGCATGAACTCTGTGTCAAAGATTCAAGTTGCAGTTATTTATATTTCCTATCACCTTAAATCTTCACTCAAAGACACTCAAGTATCTGTGACAGTGTGTATATAGATGTATCATATATAAGAGAGAAATATTGTTCTTTTAATATGTTGGCATTACTAAATTTGCTCAGTGCTTACATATATGTGTAAAAAGCAAATGTACGAGCTGTGATAACTGTGTCTGATAGAATGAAGAGTAGACTGATAAATGAAATATTCCTTTATTGGGTGAGAAAATCAGACCATGTCATAACTGCTTTAAGTCATACAGAATAGACGTCAGAGCCTTAAACAGGCTGACTTCTGCTAAATGGGTCAAACTGGGCAGAAAGTACACAAACACATAACATCCTTATAGAATATGATTTAACACTATAGATCAACTTACCTCAGAATATATAAAGCATATAAACAATTACAGCAATATGATACAACAAACACAGCAGCTACTGATCCAAAATACTCAAAGCTTCATAGAACTGAAACCAACATTTATTTTTAGCTCCATTCTGCTGCTGTCCGTACTGTCACGGCGGTGAGGAGAGCGTGTGAAAATAATAAATGAGGATTCAATCGCAGCAGTAGTGGAGAAGTGAAGGTGGTTTATGAACACAAAATAAATATGGACAAACAGCAAATGGAGCACGAACTAACTAGACTGGAACAACTAAACTACAGAGCACAAACCTGGACAAGAATGAGACGAGCAGAGGAGATGGACAGCAGGGAGAACACGGGTGAGACATGGTGGATACACAGACGGACCAGCAACTACAATGACAGAGGACACGACTTAAATACACAGAGAAACACAGGGGAATTACACACAGGTGGTGGACACAGCTGGAATAATCACCAAGACGAGACAGAGGTCAAACTGAACACACTCACATGAGACGCAGACCTTCACGCAGACCTTCACAATAAACATTGACAATTCACATGACAGACAGAAATTACACATGGAACTAGACATATACTAAGCGGACACAACCGAAGAACAAATCCTAAACACAAACAGAACATGAAACTCTAATAATAACCATCATAATCATCATCATTAACACAACAGAGAACAAGAAAACAATCCCTGATGCAAAATGAAACCAAAACATAATAAACTCAAAATACTGGGTGGAAACTGACCAGAACCGTGACACATACTTTAGGTTTCTCAACATTAAACTTGTTGCTGCCTTTCATAGTGTGTAACTTGAAGGCCCTGAGTACTTTCTCCCACACTGAAAACACTGGAATGACAACATTATTTGAACATTACCTAATAAGACTGATTCAGCACAGACAGTTATGTTAAACTTTCCTAGCAGTCCTTCACAAACAGGGAACAGTCTGTCTATTCTCTCCATCTGTCAGCTGCTGCTGGCTCTTCCTCCTCCTCTTCCTCACATACTGCTGAGTTTGTCCTGGTGGATCATCAGGGCTGCAAAGCCTCACAGATGATGTGCAGCAGTGGGTCCCTCAGTCTGTCCTCACTCTGGACACTTGCAGTCGTCACACATGGAAATCAAATGTGTGATAAGGTGCAGGATTCAAACACAAGTGTAACTTATAAACACATGTTCATACTTTTATTCCACAATCAGAGAGAAAGAAACAGAGAGAGAGTGCAGGACCATAGCTGGACTCGCCATCGGCATACCGGGCATTTGCCCGGTGGGCCGCTGGCGATTTTTTGCTTTTATGGGCCGATCGATTTTTTTTTTTTGGAAGGGTATAAATAATGAAAGGTGTTGGATTGGCCAATTGGTCATGATCGACTCTGGGCTGGACCAATTACAGCCGAGGAGGTCGGATGCACCCTCCCCCTTGTTTAGCAATCTTATAAATGAACTAAAGAAAATGGAGAACAAAAAAAGGAAAGAAGGTGCAGAAAAAATTAGGGCCAAAAAGAAACAAGCCCTTCAGGCAGACGCTGCCAAATGTGCAAAAATAACTGAATTGTTTGGCGGTAGCTGTGGCATAGCTTCCACAGATTTAGCAACATCAGCAAGTGGTGGAGGCCAGCAGGTGGATAAGGGAAAGGGGAGGCAAGAGGAGGAGAGACCCGAGGCGCCACCGGTCATAGTGGCAGAGGAACTGAACTTCAGGTAAGAAGTTATGACCTGCTGTCTATCTGTGTCAGATATAAACCAAGTTTAGTTGTAGTTTGTTTTCGTTGTGCTGACTTTTTACAGTCGCTTAGAATAACTGGTACTAGCTAGCATGACGGAGTTTATATACTGCTGGGCGGGTGCTATGAAGTTACTGATAGTAAATTTTATTTTATGCTTAAGGTTAGTTTCTCAAACTCCTCAAAATCTTAACAAATTGTGCCAATCCTTACATGTTGCACCAGGCTGATTTATCATCAAAAGTGGAGAAGTCTGTGACAGAGGAGACAGAAGAGCAGCAGAGAGAGATGGAGCAAGAGAGAGAAATAAAAGAGCAGGAGATGGAGATGGAGAGATGACTTTATGTCATCCATGAGGGATGCATTTGACATATGTTTCACATATTATAGCCCAACAAGGTACTTATAGCAATTTAAATACGAGCAATCACTTTTTGGCAGACAATCACTTTTTGGCACAACACCGGCTATTTTTTGTGTTTCTTTTTATCGCTCTGTAACTGAGTTCAATTGAAAGCCTGCATACGCTAGTACCTCTTGCCACAAGTTCCCAGAATCCTTTGCGGTTTTATCGCTGAATGACGTCACATTTTTGGTGGGCCGGTCTCTAGTCAAAATGCCCAGGCCGATTTTTTGTCCCAGTTCAGCCCTGTGCAGGACAGACAGACAGGTGACAGTCTCAGGTGTACACACTGCTACACAACAGCACCAGAGAAGGAGGATTTAGTGTTAGTGTTATTACGAGTGCTAAACAAGAAGAGTTCCCAGATGGTGCAGTGGACACATGTGTGACTGCTGTGATTAAAGCATCTTTCTTTCAGCTTAACGAGTGAACCGTCAGCTCGTTCAAACACACGTTAAAGTCCGTTTGGCTCGACACCACCGAACAGAGGCAGCAATATAACATAGCTAACATTAACGGTGCAGTGAATCCTGCTTGTGCCGTGATATTCAGGACTGCAAACCGAGCAGCATCACTGACTTTCAGCTTGTTGTGTTTGTGGATAAATGACTGACTTTAATTATCCACAAAATCATCACATTCTCTGTAGGATTAAGGTCGACTATTGAACAGCGTATATTTTAAAGTAAAGGCTTTAAAACCAAGTAAACGCTGAAAGTACAAACATCACTAATGTCACATAACTTTGCCGACATGTGGCCAACAGGAATGTTTTAATGTTTTTCATTATTAAACATTTGCACATAAATAAGTGACATAATATTCAGTACTTACTTCTGAAAGTTTACTCTTCAGCCGCCCCTCTTCTGCCGTTTTCTTTCGGCAACATTATCCACACCCACCGCCGCGCCGTTCTCTCAGAACTGAAGAAACTTCTTGGAAAAATGTCTTCAAGAAATTTAAAGCAGTTCAGACGCTTTTCTTTCCCAGCTCCTCAGACTGTCCACCCTGTTAGCTTCGTTAAGCAGCCATGAAGAGTAGAAGGCCAAGTATGAGTTTCAAACAATAAACACATTTATTTTTAAACCCTGCAAATAAACAACATTAACATCAAAAGTTTTACATTTCCTAAATGTATCCCACAATCTGAATATAACACCCACTTCCCCACGTTTGATCCGCTGTGTTAAATATGATTAAGAACAGAATGCAATCATTTGCAAATCCTATAAACCAGTATTTTAAACAAAGTGAGAAAATGAAACATTTAAAGAAAAATATTAGCCCATTTTGAATTTGATGGCAGCATCCTCTCTCCAAAACTAAAGGCTTTACGATGTTTAGTGCTGGACCATGTTGGTTAATGTGTAAACTCAACAGTTTCCATTTTGATTAACCTGACCAACATCTAACATAGAACACCTTTGAAGTGGACCTCGCACCCTGTGGATAACTTCAAACACGTCGAGGTCTTCAGAGGCTGAACTTTGACCCAGCATCACAAGGAGCGCCATAAACACTTGTTACAGTTATTAGAAGGAAGCCAGCCTTTAGACATCCCCACAACGACATCGTGACCAAGGGTCTGTTGCATGATTTTTAACATGGCTACAATGTGTCGTCTGCTGAGTCATCGTTTAATACAACAACGTACTGAAGAGAGCATTCAGCATCTGACTGAGCTGGACTAACCTTCCCTTTCAAAAGTGAAAACTGCAACATAAAACTGGAATACAACCAACTTCTAATGAAATGTAACATTTTATAACATGAACACAGATTCCAGGTGAGCTGTGTCTTCCAGGACTGGATTTACCAGAACAGGTATGAGGACGGTGCCTGACGGGCATGTACGAGCTGGAGTGGATCCCAGCTAACACAGGGTGAGGAGACAGACGACCGTTCACGCTCACACTTATTCACCAGTTAACCTAACCCCACTACCTGAATGTCTGTGAACTGTGGGAGGAAGCCAGAGTCCCCTGAGAGGACCCACACAAACACGGGGAGAACATCCAACCTCCACAGAGACTCTCTCTGCACTAAAAGCACAAAATAAAAACCACACCGTCATGTAATTCAAGAAACTGGTCTAAAAAACAGTTAATCTAATATGTCCACATGGAGCCCGTGTTAAGGTCCGTACTGGGCTTCAGAACATCAAGTGAACAACGTCAGATGGGACCTGGGTGCGTTGTCTCCTGATAGAAAGTGCTGAGGATCAGAAGGACTCAGGGACAACACGATATCTGTCCAGCAGAGGGCGGCATTATTCCAAACGGCTCCATCCTAGAAACATGATGTGGAACAGCTGACCTGTAGATCTGCTCAAGAACAATCGTCACAGTCTGATCACAGTCAGTCCCACGTCTGCCATGTTCTCAGCTTCCTTTAGTACAGGTAGCTTTAATGATCATTTCAAGTGTGGTTGTTTCATGGAAACAGAGAGCAGACTGCAACATGTGTGACAGCCGCCTCTAACACTCTG